TTAAATCTTAAAAAAAACAATTACAACATATATATTAAATATATTTAAAAAAAGTAACATTATCAATATTAAATTTCAATTAATTAAAAGTTGACTTTAAACTTTAATTAATTTAAAATCAAATTAAATTAAATCTTATAAAATAATTTTTTAATATTTATTATTTTATTTATAAAATTTAAATTCAAAATTTTATTGTTAAAAATTTAAATTTTTTTGGCAAAAACCTAAGTTAAGTCTCTAAAATTATCCCAAAATAATATTTAAGCTCCTAAATTAAAAATAAAACAGATAAATCTTCCAACTCCACTAACAATACAAATAAACCCTTTTCACAAATGTATCAAACAATATTTCATGTTTAATATTATTTTAAAAACATGACTGCTCAATAAAAAGGACCTATTTGTATCATTAGTAGAATTAGAGGATTTATTTACTTTATTTTTAGTTTAAAAGCTTAAGAAAAGTTTTGCCAATTCCTTTCGGTTTGGTAGTATTTCTTTTTTTTTTTTAATTTTTTATGGAACAGACTTCAATTTTGATTTTGATTGCCGTCTCAAGGGGTAAATTGAAAATTATTTTCCGAAATTGTTTGACCTCCTACCGCATAGATCCAAACCGTTCGATCCAATATTTTCAAGAAACCCAGCCACTCTGATCTCCGTTTTCTCTCGGTTTCTGCCTCGAACCACAACAGCTACCGCTCTACTTTCTCGAGAAAAATGAAAGACGACGAAAGCAAACAAAGTCCCCCTTGAATCACCCTTCCCTCACACTCCTCGCATCCTTCATCCTCTTTACCATCTCATGTTTCATTCAAATCTGGGTAAAGTTTCATCTTCCTTTCCCTTTCAATACGTTTCCCTGTCTATTTTAATTCTCCTCTCTAGGGTTTTCTTTTCCATCTAATTTATGAGATTCCCTTGCTCGATTTGCCAAATTGTTAATGGGTTTGTAGTTTTTTTTTTTTTTTGTCAAATTTGATTCGGTGTTTAGAGGGATTTCTGGTTTTCTTAGTCAATTAAGGGATTCGTGTTCTTTGGGTTTGTGGTTTTAATTACAAGATCGTACTTCTTTCTGGGTCTGTAATTCGAGGGGAGTTGTATCATCCTGGCGGTTTGAATTATAACTTCAATATTTTAGCTGGAAATGCAATGTTTAATCATAATTTGTTTATCTTTTTTGTAATCTCTGCGCTACTTCTTGCTTTATCTGTAAAGTTTTGTGTGAATTTGATGATAATATCATTGATCTTCTCTGGGGAAGTCTTGTTGATGTTTACCCTCTATGAGTTGTGTTTTGCTATTGAAGGATCTTGTTAAATACTATGGTGATGTGGGGTTTTGATCATCTTCTAGGTGTATACCAAACCAAATAGATTTTGTGTATAGATATGTTTATAGTAAAATATGAGTGAAGGAACTAATTCCATTTTCTATTTCATGGCAGCTTTTTTTTGCTCAAAGGGAACTATATCGGTTGGATTATAAATTTTACCTGCCAAATGTTTTTGGCTGCTTGGCAAAGCGTCATTCAGTATATGAGATAAATTAGTATTTTGTTCTGTGGTAGTGTTTGGGAAAAGTAGTGAAAATTTGGGGAGTCCATTATTATTATCCTATGCTTTCGCACAGCTTTATTCGGTTGGCAGATTTAGATGGAAATTTCCTCCCAAGAAGAAAATAGTGCCCAGACTGACCAATATCCTTTGTTAATGGAACGAATGGAAAGCCATAGCAATAATGAGCATGTCATCAACATTACAACAAATGATGATGCTTTATCGAGTTCAGTTCATGATCAGCAGCGCCCTGCAGTGAACTTAATGCAGAATGAAGACACTCCTTCGGGCAGCTCAGGAGATCCAAGCAATCATCCTTCATCTTCTTCAAACAGATTAAACACCAGGAATTCCTCATTCATGAGGAGAAGTGATGGGTATGGTCGTCGTCACAGAAGCCCTCTGAATTCTGGCCTATGGATCTCTGTTGAATTAGTTGTTACTCTTAGTCAGATTATAGCATCTATCGTTGTTCTGTCATTGTCAAGAAATGAACATCCTCAAGCCCCACTTTTTGAGTGGATTGTTGGTTATGCGTCTGGTTGTGTTGCAACACTTCCTATTCTCTATTGGCGTTTCCGTAACCGCAACCAGGGCACCGAGCAAGATACTACTCACTTGCGTCAAGGTTTTTCTCAAAGAAATCCTAGTGAGGCTGCACCCTACACAGCTATTTTAGCTACTCAAGCTGCAGGTGAGGAAAACAATCGCACCACTGAAACTGCATCAAGGAACGGTCAACTTGCAGGAACTTTAAGTGCACGGTATATATTTCTTTTGGTTTCGTAATTTAGATTTGAAATTCCCTTATTTGCGCATACTTGGTTCCTCAGTAGATCTCCACGATCCAGTACTTAGTGTGGCTTGGGAGTACACCATTTATTAGATTTCCTTGTATTTATGTCATTACAAAAAAATTGATAGATACATTTTTCCTTAATAAATCGACCTCAAGAAAACATTGTTTCTTGCCATTCTCTAGTTTTTTACAATGTCCGTCTTTAGCTTCTGTTCTTGTAGATGCTTTATTTGGTCCAAGTATTTTTTTACTCTTGGGAGAAGGATAGAAATTGGAAAGGTCTAACCTGTTCAGGCTGGGAACTTGAAGTCTGATAACCAAATATGTCTTTAGCTTATTTATTATTGTGGTATTTTTTTTATTGATTGCATCCCTGAACTCAAAAATGTTGATTTCATTTTTGTTCCAAATGAATGAAGAGGACATGGTTTTTCAGTAATTTTCTTCAGAAATATATAGAAATTGATGAAGAACAAGAAAACCATGTGGGGATTTAGATGAAAAGTTTTTGAAATTCTGTCTATAATTATAAGATGGTTTTTTGAATGATTAAGTTAGTTTCTGATCTGCAGGCTCAATGGATTAGTGGACCATTTCAAAATGGCATTAGATTGCTTTTTTGCTGTGTGGTTTGTTGTGGGCAATGTGTGGATATTTGGAGGTCATAGTTCACCCAATGATGCTCCTAAATTGTACAGGTAAAAAAAAATGATAATGATCTAACTTTTGTTGAGATTTCCTCATGATTGACTCATGAACTGTTTTATTCGGTTTATTGTAGGTTATGTATAGTGTTCCTTACCTTTAGCTGTATCGGATATGCCATGCCATTCATACTATGTGCAACAATTTGTTGCTGCTTGCCCTGCATAATTTCTGTCCTTGGCTTTCGGGAGGATTTTTCGCAAACTAGAGGAGCTACTGCAGAATCTATTAATGCATTGCCAACATACAAGTTCAAATTAAAAAAAGATGGAAATGTCAACAATCAGGATAACTCAAGTGCTGAAGGTGGAATCCTGGCTGCAGGCACAGCAAAAGAACGTGTCATATCAGGAGAAGATGCAGTAAGTTGGATGCTAGGTTTTGTGGCTGCTGGTATAGTGTTTTTGAAATCTAAATTCATTAACCAGATGACTGAACTGAATTCAAGCAAGATGCTAGAACCAAACTGGGTTAAACTGTATGAAATATGCAGCATATTAAACTAGCAAGTTCCTGAGTCTTGCCAATTCAGTTGCTGAGTTTGGATAAAAGTTTGCTTCATCTAATTTCTAAAAAAGCACTCTAATTGGTACAGCACAGTTTGCACATCATTCAATCAAGTCAAGTTTTGTGCCTTGTTATTCTAGTAGTTTAGAAGTTAGCTAGACCATTGTGGCATCAACACTGGAGTGGTTGGTTATTTATGACAAATTTGTGTTGCCAATGTTTAATATTTCAGTCTTTTTCCTTTTTCTCTCTTGAAGTTTTGATTGGGTCCACAATTTAGAGCTAACTAATTTGACATCTTGCAGGTTTGTTGTATCTGCTTGGCAAAATATGCAGACAATGATGAGCTGAGGGAGCTGCCGTGCAACCATGTGTTCCATGTGGAATGTGTCGATAAATGGCTAAAAATTAATGCATCATGTCCCCTCTGCAAAAGTGAGGTTGGTGAGCATAGCAGTGCCTCACCCATGGCCCGAGGCCTCAATTGATATCATAGCAAAAAGAGTGAAGTTAAATTAGACAGTCGAGGATAGCGTTTCTATCTTTTGGATGCTCAGCATCTGCTTGGTTTCATAGCTTGTGGCAGTTGCATGAAATGTCCAACCCGTTGGTGAGAGCTCAATTTGAGCCTTCATATATAAATCAACACATTCAAGCACAGGGACATCCTTCATATCAGCAAGGGTGGTTTGTCCCCTTCGCCAGACACAGATGTGCAAGTTTGTTGGGTTGTAATATAGAGTACAAAGCAAAGGATGGTTATGCACTCTACCCTTTAATGGTCTTTTTGTGTGTATATGGCACCTTGCTTCAAGGCAATGACATCAATTACAGATTATTTCTGCAAATAAGTATGTAGTGACAGTGGGGAACCCAGACATGGGAAGGTCATGTTTAGCAATGCCAACCAGTTATGGATCAACCCTCTAAAGAGTCCATTATAATTATTGTCACATGAGACCGCAGTGACTCACAAAGAGTCAATCACAATTTCCGTTACCTTGATCACAATTACCCTCATACTAAATTATGATATATTATTGTAAATTGTGATGGTTGTGATTAAATCATTTTTCATCCAAGGCTAATTTGAGACAAGTGAAGTCACATTAAATTATAATGGCTTTTTCTGTACTGTGCTTTAATGGTATGGGTTATATGTGTAGTAATTGTATTTTTTAATTAATTATTATGAAAAAATAAAAGTTAAATTTTAATTTTAGCATCTATATAATTAAAATTATGTACATGTTATTTATTAGTAGCAATGTTCATATTTGATTGAATCCAGTTGATTCAATCTAAACTAATTCAATTTGATAAAAAAAACAAAACAAAGTGAAAAAAAAATAAAGTAAGTTGAAATTAAAAAATTTAAAAATTAAAAAAATAAGTTAAGTTGGAAGTTTATCTCCAAACCACTTAAATTACCTGATTACAAAATAAAATTTGATTATAAAATAACTTAATTAAATAATATAATATATTTGTTTTAGTATTTTAAATTTTCTTTGTCTTGTTTTACAAAATAAACTTCGTAAATTAAAAAATAAAAATAAAAAATTTTCATATTCTCTAATTTATTTTTCTTTTTTAATTGTGCATTGTAATGCTAATTCTAAATTTATAATTCAACTTGCAACTCTACCCTTTAAAAATGGTTTGCAACTCTGCTTTTAAAATCTTAAATTTTTAATTTACTCCTAAAATGATATTCTATCTTCTAACTAAACTTTAAAGAAATATCATTCTATAAGTCTTAAAATTATATAATAAAACTAATCTTAATATTTTACTATTCTTAAATGTTTAGTTGAAGAGTTTTAAATATTGATTATGAATGCTTCTAATCAATCCTAGTGATATTTATGTTAAATTTTTATTTGCTTTTAATTGGATTTAGAAGATGAAGTTGAATCATTGGTGCATTAAGAAAAAAGAAAACTAATTTTAACATTTAAGAATTTTTAGCATTGTCCTTGAAATTTGAAATCTATTTTTGGTGATATAGCCAAAAAAAAGTTTCTAGATCTTTTCAATCTCTAGATTGTAAATGAATATAATAACTTATTTATAATTTGTACCTATTATTATATGTTTACTTATTTAGATATTAATATGTTTTAGACTTACATTTTTTATTTGATATTAAAATTTTTTATATTATCTCATAAACTTAATAAGTTAATAATGTTAAAAATGGATTAATTGGACCGAACCACATGGATAAGCTAGATTGGTTTAATTATTATATAATAATTAATTAATTGATTTAAAAATTTTACTAATCAATTAAATTAGATTGATTTAAAAAATATTAAATTTTAAATCAAATCACACTACAAACACCCTTAATTATTAGTATTAAAAATGAAATTAATTTTTATATTTTTTATACAAATTAATTAAAAAAATTCTACCTTAATTTGCACGGTGAAAGCATAAGTTAAAGAAACCCAATTGTGATATATTATTGGTATTTTTCGGCTTGCACGTGCTAAATATTTTTGGCGCACCGTGGCATTTGACGAAAAGCAGCCGACACAGAAAAAATAGAAAAGCAACGTGCGGTCTGCGTTTATATTGACTTGATAGACACTAAAAATTTATGTTCATATATAACTCTTATATATTAAATTTATATAAAATTTTAAATATTTATTTTTTATTTTAATAATTAAAATTTATTTATTTTTACAATATTTATTAAAAATAATTATTTTATTTAAAAAATTATAATAAATTTCAATTATTAAAAATAAAAATAAATTATCAAAATTTTATATAAGTATAGTTTATAAAATTTATATACAAGTAAAGTAAGCATGAATTACCAAAACTCTTAAGAAAAAAAAAAAAACCCATGTGCATACAAGTGAATTCACGACTTTTTCGATTGTGAAAATAATCATTCCCGTGCATAACATCTCAACCGTCGCTTCAACAACAAAGAGAAACATGAGTGAGAACAATAGAAGCATACAAGAAAATCGTGAAAATTTTATTCCCAACAGCCACTCATCATAGACTCCACAACAAAATTTTCCACATTATGTAGCGTTTATACATTAGCAAATAGGATAATTAAATGTGAGAAGTACAACACCATCCAAAGAACAAAAAAAAAAAAGTATTTCTCCTACTCCAACCAGACCTTGGATAAGTACCCAAAATTTTCTTTAGTGCCCCACTTCAAAGACCAATGATATAAAACAATTTGGGTAGATCCAAGAAGGCAACCTTATAAAAATCTCCCTAATGGTGACCAAAACAAAAGGGGAAAAAAATTTATCAGCCCTAAAAGCTCCATCCAAATAAATTATACACATTTGAAACGGCATGCATTTCACTATCAGGTACAGTAGGGTGAATAAAGAAGATTACATCTAAACTCTCCAAGACAATGGTAGAAAGGAATGAAGTGACCGCACAAGCTTGATACTATTTGATTGGCTGCAACGAACCATGAAAGGGAACTCATGAGATTCATCACTTGAGCAGGTTCAAAACTGAAGTCAGTCGACTCCAGTTGGTGGCAGCTGAAGCACAGAATTAGTATCAAGTTCAGATGGTAATCTTCTTAAAAGCCTCAAGGTTTCCATTTGAAACAAGGGAATTTGCAGTTTCATTGATTTCAGGATGGTCTGAACCGCCATTTGCAGCATTGGGGCTGGTTTGGTTGTTCCCTGAGTTGTGCATGGCAGAGCTGCGGCTGCCAACAAAGTAGGTTGAGTAGGGGAAGTATTCAGCACATCTCCCTTTCCATCCTGCAGAAAGGAATTTATGAAACAAGGTCTAACATCTTTCACTTTGATAAGATAAATCAAAATGGAAATAAATACTAATAACTCTGTTTCTTTTCAAGCCAGGAACATGTTATACCAAGGGAAATACAAATTGTGAAATTTTCCTAATTAGCAAACATTCCTCTAATTCCCAAAAATGAAAATCTCCCATCAAAACCACTCAAGCCTGAATAGATTGGTGTTTTATAACTTCTAAGAATCCAACACCCTGGGGTGAGGAGACGGACTGGACAGCAAAGAAAACCAAGAAGTGATTAAAAAATTAGTTTGCAGTTACCAGGACATTTCAAACTGGAAAGCTACAAATAAAGAGGGTCTGATAAGGAAAAGATTTCACTTTATGGCTGTATTTGATTGGAGGAAAGTGTTTCTCGTCAGAAGGTGTTTCTTGCAATTTGTAAGTTGAATTAATGATTGTATTGATAGTCAGTTTTTTCTCCTAATCCAATTACATTTATTCAAAGGAACCAGTTATTGAATACTACTACTTTACAAAATAGTCAGCTATTTGTACCATTAGCCATGTGGTATGGTGGTAGAGTTACTAATACTTTTAGCCACAAGTCTAGGATTCAATCCCTAGTCTCTAGATACCAAAAAACTATTTGTTTAATGACAGAAATAAAAGGCTATTTTCTTTAGTTTCCAACAGTCTGATCCCAGGAGGATCAGTGTCATGAAGAGGCTTTCCAAGTCTAAAATGCATCTCAACCCAAGAAGGTGATATTTCCCAAGCAGCTACCAGGAATCAATCACACTGCCAAGTTCTTCCTTTTCACATGGTGGGAGGATGCACTTTTGGAAGGACTCAGAGCAACAAGTTTTCATTGTCCATCTCAAATTAACAATGGTCATCAAATTTTATCACTAATTAGGAAGAAAGATGTTGAAGGCCAAAACAAGGAAGCAAGTTGCACAAGAGTTAGAGACCACAGGTCCAGAGGAATGATATGTAAACTTACTCAGTGCAGCATCGTGCTCAATAAGAACATTTTCAAGGAGTTTATGAACTGCTATACAGTCTTTGAGTTTCCATTCCTGGACTGGTCCGAGTGCTGCATCTCTATATAAACAAAAAAATTGAGCTCAGATATACACTCAAAATGGCAAGCTGCAGGGTATTGAATCAGCATAAAATAACAGAACTTGTTACACCAAGAAACATTACGTTGACAAAACTTTGTTGGTTGAATCTTCAATTAATCTAACAGCCTCCTCTTTCTTGTTAGGTTCCAATGAATACAACATTTCTGCAACGGCTGCTCTATGCATCAAAGAATCTGCAGAATATGAAAGAGAAAACAAGCATAAACTTACTGTCAAACAGGAGCCAAATAGCAAACCCGCATGGTAAGTGAAAAATACCAGCGTGCTTATCAAGGAATATTCTGTTTGCCTCAATAAGAGATTTCTCCTTCAATTGACTGCAAAAAAGAAAGAGCAACAAGATAATTAACATAGCTAATTAATGCAGAAGGGAAAAAAAATTAATACAGCATATCTCAAGGAGAAGATAACAATAATGGCTGTTTCAAATGTAACCTGATAAATGGTCGCTCTGCTTCTAACACACTCCAAACAAGTTTCTCAGCATCAGTGACTGGAGCAGACATAGAGTCTACCTTGTGGAAGAATCTAATCTGCAGTAAAATAAGTTGGACCGAGGACCTTCAGTAATCCAATAGGTGCATGCCATGCATCACGTATCAATTACCAATCAAGTGCAAAAGAGCACAGGCATATATGGACCATACGACATTACATACCAAGCAGCGATGTGAATCTGGATTCTCCGCATCCAACCTAAGCAGATGCTTGACAGCCTTCATAAGAAAAAGCAAAAAGAATAAAAGTGTTATTTATCATCAAAAAACAATAGATGCAAAACCAAATAAAACTGTCATTCAACCAAACAAATGCAACTTAACCATTCAATTCTTTTGTCAAATTCACTAGTTGAATAGACATGAGAAAAGATTTTGGTCAAGTTAAGATTTGCTATTTTTCCCTTTTTTTTTGGTGGATGTTGGTATCCAATCAAGATTCTCAATCTACTACACTAATTTTCCTGTCAGTTTGTCTATCAAATAAAGAGCATGGTGTAATGCATATTTGTTCCACAATCAGATTACAGAAATACCTGAAAGGCCAGTAGAATCTTCTGCTTTCTTATGTTTGCTTCAAAAGAAAGCAAGTGTGTCTCCAAAGAGTGAGGAGAGTTCTTCTGAAGCAGTTTCAGGTACTTAGATGCTTCCAATAAAGGATCTTCTACCTGTTACAAGAATTAGACAGGTAAGGATGCTTTTTTTGCTGGAAACCAAGGATGACAAAAAGCATTCTGCAGCATCAAAGTATTCTAATGCATAAGAGAAAGTAACTAATGGATAACCTGCAATAACTTTTCTCCATGTGGATCTGGATCAACAGGTTTAACATGCCGTTTCCCAGACTTTGATACACCACTTGCTGTGGATTCTTCATTTCTCTCCTCTGCCTCCTAAAAACCAGAGCATTAGAATGAAAACCAAACTCAAACAGAACATTCACAAGAAATCACAGAAACACACTAATACTTTCTTAGCCCTCTCTGCCTTCCTCTGTTTTTTCATTTTCTTTTTCTGAGCAGGAGTCTTTGATGCATCACCATCTTCTTCAGTTGGGGACTTCATAGGAGAATCATACAACTTCAAATAGCATCTGCATTTCAAAAACCAATGAACATAAATATGCAGAAAGGAGAATACAAGGATGATTTTGGAACCAGAGTGGCAAGTGATGTTGTTAACAAGAAAATCAATCACATGTTAACCTATTAATTCAATTATCGTATGGCCGACCATTACACCACATTATTAACACAATATTTTTAGATATTTTGCCTCAACCAACTGAACCTGCCACAGAATGACTCTTCTCCCTCCCTTAAACCCATGAGCTCTACCACCTATGATAAAAATGAATATTTATCACCTATAAGAGTAAGATTTCACAAAGGATATTGAGACTAGAGAATTTGCAGTCCAATTTTAATTCTCAAAGATCTCTCTAAGTCTAAGCACACCTTAAAACACAACCCTAAGGAATCCAGGAAAAACAATCCGATAAAAATCACAAACCTCATAAACCATTATGGATGTCAAAAGCAAGCTAGTGGGGATGGCCTGAGTTCACTCTAATGAAGCAATTATTATAACAAAATTTTGCTTTTGCTATAAACTATAAAGTGGAACTGTGAGTATAGAAAGAAACCTTGTCCATCTTTTACATGTATAAAATAAAGAGAGAAATAGGTGAGGAAGTGGAAAAAGAGTGAGGAAAATTACCACCATCTGTTTTCTAACAGTCTTAAGGTGATTCAGTAACAGAGTTGGTCTATACAAAATTTTCAGGGAATAACTAAATAATAATTGGCATAAAATACTAGTACAAACTACACCGTTCAAAGATGTATTTCAAAATCTAACAGAGCCAGGGACATATATGAAGCCTGCTTTTATAGCTTTGCAAATTTTAATTAAGTTGGGTTGGTGGGGGCATTTGGGGACTAAACACTAATGATTTCAACAAGGATTCAAAACAAAAATCCTTAATTTTAATCTCCATCGATACACATTAAACCTGAAACTGTAGCAACAATTTTCCCCACAAAAAAGCGTCTGTAAATGAATCTGGTAAATAATGAAAGGGTGTCTGTAAATGAATCTGGCGAATAATGAAAGGGTTACAGGCACTGGAAGCATCTCATGGGAAGAGAAGTGGATAGTGGAGCAGATTCTGTTGCACTGGAAGCGTCTCATGGGAAGAGAAGTGGATAGTGGAGCAGATTCTGTTGCACTGGAAGCGTCTCATGGGAAGAGAAGTGGATAGTGGAGCAGATTCTGTCCCACCAGGAATACTAACATTGGGATCACCAAAAATTTTGTAGAAATCACAAAAGAAATACTTTACCTGATTGCTCCAGCAGCTGCTTTATGAAAGTATGCATGTGAATGCAACCGATCTTGAAATTTAAGCATTTCCACATACGCACGCAGTGTCATTTTTCTCAGACAATAAGAATGGAAATCAAATTGATCTTCAGTAATATCAGCATAGTGCTTCTCCACAGCTAAAAATTTCTTCAGGGCCCTTCCAAGATCACCTTGGCGGAAGTAACTTTCACCAGAAGCAAGTTCATACCTTCAAAATAGAACACTGTAAAATTAGGAATTTTCATTACCAACTTCAGAGAATAATTTCAATACTGCAATGCACAGATACAGACCACATGCACTGCATGTCATGAAGGTTGTTGTGTTGATCCCCATCTTTCGTGAACAAAACAGCAGTTTTTTCCGCCAAAACAACCTTCAGGAATAGAAAAAGGAATTCCAAGGACAGCATGGTAAAAATTGAGGCTTACAAAGAAAATCTAGAATGATGCAGCACAATAAAGTCAAACATAAGAATATAAAAATGTAATGCTTTAGAACCTGATCAGCCTGCAGCATTCGCTTGACGCATTCACTGTTTATATAGCGATCAGCAAGATCCATACACCTAGCTTCATCAGCCAATGAGGCAGCTGCTACCAAATCACCAGCATGCTTCAGTATCCGGCTCTGCCATTAAAAAGTGCCAATCATATAAAACAGAGAATTTCAATGATTTCTTTTAAAGAATAGGGGAAGAAGTTTCATTGTGAACAAGGAAAGAAATGAACAATTATTCCAGCCATAAGCACTGTAAACAAAATGATAAGACACTCTATATATAATTACCAGCAAGGAGTGCATTCAACATAGACATTGCAGTTGTATCATGTGATTATGTACATAAACTTGGAGATCCAAGTGGACATATAAACATTCAGTCAAGTCTCAGTGAAAATAATAAATTGAGTCTCTTACCAGCAATAAGTGAAAGGGAATCTTCATGAAAGGTTGCATGCAAAGTATACATATAATGTGACACAATGCAAGATCAACATATTCAAAATAACAACAATAAAATGAAAACAATGAGGAAGTAGAAAGAAAGCATATCAAACTTGCAGATGAATGGCAATGAACATTTTCAGGCAGAAACAAGAGCAAACCTTTACTGAATATAAATCAATTACAGTAGGAGTGTGTTCTATAGCCTCATCAATTTTGGAGATAGCAAGGTCATATTGGCCCCTTCTGTCATAATGCTGCATTATCAACAATAAACCACAAAATGACTCACCATAAATTGCAACAAAATATAAAAATAAGAAACAAAGAGAAAACAAGGGCCACAGCAGCTACAATAACTGATGAGAATCTACCTGAGCTAAAAAGAACAAAGCCCACATAAGTGTTGATGGAGGCTCTTTTTCTGTCCTGCATTCAGGAAGAAAAACAACAATCAATGTAAAAAAAAGAAGTAACGCAATAACAGATCAAAAATGCGTGAGTTCACCAGTAGACACATGCTAACATGTATACGTCATGAATTCTACCGTAGCCAGAACTAAGAATCTAGCTTTCAATTGATCCAACAAAGACAGTGAACATATCAGGCTAATCGAATGCACCTTTTAAGCATGAATACGTGGCATATGCCAAGGAAAAGATCAAGATAAATACACATTAAAACCAACATGCAATATCCAAGGTTGGATTTTCTTAAGACTTCTAGAACATCTCACAAGGATTAGAAGAATATATTACAACCTCCCAGGGTATCTCCCAGTTGTCCTGACACAATGCTCCAACTCAAGAGCAATGTGCTCTAGAATATCTGCCTGTATAAGAGACAATAAAGCAAGAAAAATGAATCCTATTAAAATCAAGAAACAGTTTAAAAGCATTTAAATTAGGTACTGAAACGCTCTTAGAAATACTGAGTAAAAACGCTAACCTTGCCAGGGTGGTCATACAGAGGAGAAAGATCAGAGAACAAAGACGGAACTCCCTGTGAAGACCAGGAATATAAATCTAATTCAATCAACAAACTTCAGAAAACCAGTAAGACTAGCAGAAAACTGTAATCATAAATACCTTAGTTAGTAGAGGCTTGATATAATTAACAGCTGCTTCCCGAAATTTGTCTCCTTGCAGAAAATCAAGTGGTATCCTCTAAAATTCAAAAAATAGAGCTAATATTAGTCCCCTGGAAAGTTCATCTTACATTATAAAGAAAAATGGCATGTAATGAAAACAGCAATGGTAATTGAAAATGACAGAAAAAACAAGAAAGTGGCACTGATTTAAGGATCCAATGCAAACCTTCCCTAAGGCCTATGCAAATCCCATTTCAATATAACAAAGAAAAGGTTATAAAACCAAATCATATTGTCAAAAGAGAAGGTTTTAAAGCCTAATCAAATTGTCAATGTAGGAGTGGTACCCATTAGTTCAAAACATGGAATAAAATTGAGTTGATATTCATATCCTCATATTAGTTCATATTCATAAAGTTGGAATAAAGAAAAGGTTTTAAAGGCTAAACAATAAACCATTAGTTCAAAACTACTTAAGCAATCTGGACCAGAAACCAGAAAAAAAAATGCAAAACATGGAAAACACACACTCACAACATGGTTGAATGCATATTATTGAAACTGGCATATTTATAAAGCTTTTAAAGCAGTAACAGCACTAAACATATATCATCTCATCTATCATACATGAACAGGACAGGAAACATGATGCATCACCTTAACAGCAGATGACCAAGTGTACTGCCCTTGAAGTGATTTGTACAATGAGTCCAACTGATCAGTTTCATCAGGGGAAAAGTGGCTGTTTTCTGAATGCAAGCCAGCACATTTTTGCAAGCCTTCACAATACCTGAAGAAAGTAAAAGAATACACACAATCAACCATGTTAAGAGGTATACTAGGCAATTCAGACCCTGATTTCAGCCTGGATCACAGTTCCAACTTATAGAAAAAGTCCTACCATCTTTTGCATGGGAGTTCTCTTAAATTTCAAACTAGATACCAAGAGTAGAACATTCACCTGTAATTGTCAGGATTCATGGAAAGTAATGCCTTGTAAATTTTAGCACCCTCTTCTAGCTGGCCAAGCTTCATGAGAAGAGAAACTTCTTGTTCTTTATAAGCTAATTTATCAACCTAGGACAAAATTTACCAGAAACAGTCAGAATCTGAACAGCATGCATTAGAACTCAAAAATTTAAATGTTAACACACCATCTTAGCAGCAAATAAGTTAGGAACACCAAACACATACAATTTTTGGCTCCTTCTTGCGCAACTCCTCAAGTGCTCTCTCAAGAAAACCACACTCCTCAAACAGAGAAATCTGGAGAGAAAATCATACCCACACAAAAATCAAAAAATAAAAAAGGCACCACTAGGTATTATGATATGCAGCATTTAACATGCAAATTATCAAGATGGAATCAAATGATTTAGTAAATTTAATCAATGAATTCAACAACAAGAGATCTTTTTCTTTAAAAATTTAATCCATTTCTATATTGTTTAAGCTGTTCCTAATTTAAGCAATTCTTTCCCGTGCAAGAAATAGAAGGTTAGCCATCATTACTGGCGGAATGGTGCTTTGACAACAATGTCAATCAACAATTTCTTTATTGAATAAATCTGAAGTAAAAAGCATACGTCCTTCATAAGAATCACAATAAGTAAATTTTATGATTAATTGCAAAAAGTAATGTGCTACTTTTTTGTAGAAAGAACTTGATACTTTATGAGAGAATTAGCCACACCAAACTACAACATCTGCTTGACGCATTGGCATCCCTATGAATAATTATTTGAATAGGTAGTATTAACATATATAAAACCTTTCAGTCAAGGGATAGATCATGATGCAGCCTTTATTTTCATTTTTAATTTCTTTTCTTTGAAACTGAAACATACTGAAATGGGAAAGAAGAGCAGACATATTATTTACCAACTGTTACCAACAATGATTCTTACAGAGTAATAAAGACTAGGTATTTGACTACACGTCAATTAAGAGATTCAGAAGTTGCAATGACAAAAATAATGTGGATAAGTATTTCCTAACAGAATATGATTATGCTTTTTTTAAAATAGGAATGTTGGACGTGAAACACATGTAAGAGATGGCAACAAGTACATGTGTTATCAATGCAAGTTCAGCTAATAATCAACCTTCAATGTTCAGTTAAAGAACTTCCATATCAGACCTAACTAATTACAATGAGTATGACTTCAGAAATAATCAGAACTAGAAAAAACTAAAATGAAATATTTTCCTAATAAGTTATAAGCCTCACATAAACAATAAACTCATACAAAACATTGAAAATAAGGCAAGTGGAAAAAGATATGCAACTGACTACAAGCAGTATGTCTCTAGTGACAACACTAATACCTTATATAGAAGCATTTCACCATGTTCACATCGCTCATTATCTGGCGGATAATCATCTTCTAGTGTCCCTTCATATGCTTGCAGAATTTCGACTGCTTTTGCAGCACTGATCAAGGACCAAAAAGTTGTTAGTATAGTTATCTAAGAATAACTAAATTAGCAGATCAAGCTGGTATCTGTTCAATGGACTGGAGGCACCAACAAGAAGGTGAAAATTCACAAATAATCCCAGTATATGATATAAATTACAATTAATTTTCCAAAACATGCTTCATAGTGTTCATTTGATAACAAAGGGACAAAGGGTCACCATCATACTTTCAGATAAACGCCTGAATGTAAAGGTAATGAGAAATCTATAACATAAATCACTGGTTCCCACCATTCCCTAGGCAATTTCATGTCTTAACACTGAGCAATTTTCTAAATAGCTGTATCTGCAGCTAAGCACTACCAAGCAAGATATGCTTTCATTATGTTCAAAAACAACATTACAACAAAATAAAATAGGGAGTTACATTTGAAATAATCAGAACTTCAACCAACTGTTCACACCATTAGCAAAATTTCAATGTCACATAACAAAATCAAAAGTAATTTAATTGACAATTGGATCTGCAGGAACATTTGGGTAGAGAGATGTCACCCTCTAATACAAATTTAATGTAAGAAAATGATTTTCCACTACATCCACAAATATTTGAGCACTCATAGTAAGCAAGCATATGCAGACCAATGAAAATAAACTTGAGTTGAGAAGTATATTCCTTCAAAAAGTTACAGTTAATAGTAAGAAACAATCAGAAAGATAAGAACAACAAACAATAATCACTTGTACAGCTTTTTCTTTAAGAACAAAACATTACTTTAAGTTTAAATGGTGGGCTACAGCAAATCCAATCCAGTTCATGCGATGATTTGGTTTCAGTGTCAAAAGTTGCTGTCTTGTTTCAACAAAACCAGCCAAATCACGCATTTGTGCCTGCAAAATGTAAATGATATAATTCAACAGAAATGAAAGAATAAAGATAAGTTTTATACAACATGATGCAAGAGCATGCTAGAATCACATGATACAAATAGTATACCATGTTCAGAACATAAACTTCACAATAAAAATTTATGATAATTATTTCCTTAAACTATGTTTTTATTTCTTTATTTTTATAGTAGTGTGAAAACTGATATTTACTTCATTCTTTCATGCTTCCAATTTGTAGGTTCCTTCAAGTTACCACACCACAAAGTTTATTATTTATTTCGAGTGATAACTTTAGCATGAGATTTTGGGATTCCTCCTGGTGAAACCATTTTACCACCTCCAAAATCCAACAAGAACTCAACTCAAAGATGCAACTGTCAGGCTGCATGAAACATTTGCTCCTAAATACTTTATGGGTTTTTCCATCCTGTGCCCTTAAGGGCACCTTTTTGTCATAAATTTGTATAGGAAAACGTAAAAGCTGACATTAATTTCAGCATTATTGCCACGTGGATGAATTTAATTAGACGACTGATAAAATAAATGTCAATTTTTGTTCTTTTGAGGCTCTTAAAACCATACTTTATTAACCAAGATTTTAAGTTTTTATATCAAACAGACAAGACGAGCTAATCAAAGGGTTCTAGTCCCAAAAAGGAATCTTAAAGACCTTCTAAACAGGGAAACATTACAATAAATCTTGTAATGAGCAACACAAGCACCTCTTCTACGGATTTTATGGTGAAGATCAGACATTATCGATGTAAAACAAGCATGTTTTCAGTGCATGACAAAAAATGCACTACTAATGGCACAAGTTATACCACAACCAGCTACAATGGAAAAAATCATTGAGAACATTTACCTGCAAGAGTGAAAGGTCCCTTAGAATTTCAATGTTATCTGGATCTATTCTCAGAGCATTCCTGTAGCATTTGATTGCCTCCCTATATTCTCTGTCTGATCGATAAAGGAGGCCATAAACATGCCAGCAAACATGACTTTTGAGATCATTCTGCATCAAGATGCAAATTTAAACATATTGTGAAAAAAAACAGAAGTTATGTAAAATTAGAACAGTTGGGGAAATTCCCAACCTTTAGTCCTTGCCGGACAAGCTCATATGCTTCAGCCTTGCGGTCCATGCAATTTAACGTCAACCCCTTCATTGATAAAGTTTCTGACAACCAGCAGAAAGAACAAAGTCACATTAAAACATAACATAAAGACACCAAATAAGAGATCAGAATAAATATTAATTGTTTCTTTGACACTGCATATACAAGTGATAGATAGTCTAGATAAAAAGAGCACAGGGAGAGATTAGAGGGTGGGGGTGAGGGTATCTACCCTTTATTTCCAATACAAAACCTGTTTGTATAAAAAATCTACTTCCATATTTTACTAGCAACAAATATTTCCATGTAATAACCACATTTACTCAGTAACCTCAAAATGAATTCTTGAATAATAAATTCAGGAAGTCAGCCATACCTCCATGATCTGGAAACTTTTTTAGTATGGCATCTGCTGCCTTCAGTCCCTTCTTATACTGTTTCATTTCATATGATTTCTGTAATTAGCAGATAAAAACAAGCACAAGTTAATCACAGATTAACTACTGCATGAACAATTATTGAAACATCATGTTTCAAAAATTATGCAGGAATTCATCAGCAATAAAAGTAAAAACAAAAGAGAGCTATCAAACTAAAATAAACTCCCACATTGAACTGTAAATGAGAAGTGTCAGAGAAAAAAAACATTACCAATGACATGTGAAAGATCCATTAAAAAGGTCAAACATTCATTATTTTTATAAGTAGCTTCGTGAGGAAATGAAATTAATTTTACATGCTGAAATGGATACTGAACTGAGACCCAGATTACGGAATGGATAAAAATTTGGTCTAAATCAGTACAAATTAACTTGCAAGTCTCGAAAGAGCATACATTTAGGATGTGCAATACCAAAGTCTTTAGCTTTACAAACTAATAGGCCTAGTTGTAAAAATTTTATTTATCCTCTCTCAGGTAAAGATCATCAGTACTGAAAAATCCTGACATAACACTCTAATTTCAATAAGAAAAATCTGAATGGATTAACCCAGTATCGTATATCCTTATACTCCTGCTTAACCATTAAAGAAGGGAAAAAAAAGGTCCACTGCTTGACAGTCAATTCAAATTCGTTATCAAAATCAACTTCCCTAACAGAAATTGAGAGAAACCCGTAAAAATCAATCGATGTTCAGATGGAGAAAGCAAAAACTTAAGCAGCAGGAAAGATGGACAATCCTGATTTCCCTTCCCGCTCCAATTTGCTCTGACTTTCTCTCGAACCAAACAGACACCAGACCTGGGGTAAGAGAGCTAGGGTTTTGCGGAAAAAGTTGAACTACGATCATACAGTACAAACTACCACACAAAAAAAGGTATATAACTACATGAACAAATACATAATCAGAGAGAGGGAATCGGAGCGTACGACGATGGTCTTGAAGAGGTTAGCCTCTTTAGGAGGCAGCGAAGCTCCCATTGTTCTGCGTGTGTAGAGAGAAGAAGGGAACGGGAAATTGCACGGAGAGCACGGGAGTAGGAGAGAGAGAAAGAGAGAGAGAGAGAGAGATGGAGGGGTTTGCTAGACGAAGAAGAGAATGGTGGCGTTTATCTGCTTGAAACCCTAAACAAAGAGCTAAAAAAAAAAATTACTCAGGCCACGCCAAAAAATAAAAAATAAAAAAAGAAGAACCATTTTTGTAGGAGTAACTTGTTTTTAAAGTCAATTCAGTAAAACACTCTTTAAAATT